TACAATTATATTCAGTGTGGGGAGATGGTTCATATACGTAACTCATCATAGTTCTTTTTTCATCCCTAAAAAACAATTTTTTTCCAGACAGGAGCTCACTAAATAGTTCAGGCTGTGCTTGAACTATGTAGCTCAGGCTGGCCTCAAACTCTCAGTGATCCTCCTGCCTCAGCCTGCTGACTACTAGAATCACAGGCGTACACTACCCGACCTGGTTGTCCATGAAAAAAATTTGCACAAGGGCTGAAAATACAGCTCAGTATAAAGACCCTGGGTTCAATCCCCAGGACCCTTGCACACATACGTACATACATACATGCATACACGCATGCATAAGAAATCATAAATGCTTTTTGATTCAACAGTTATACATGGCAGGAATTAATTTAAGAAAATATTCAGGAATGATCTATCAGGATGTTAGTAATAGCATTATTTACAACATGGAACAAACAGAAACAATGATAATGTCTAACAGCAGGAAGTTAATTAAATTATGACAATTCAGATTATAGAATAAGCATCCATTAAATCAGAGTATTTAACGATGTGGAAAAGATTCCTATTAAATGAAAAACACAAGTTACCAAACAGCATGCACAGCAAGCCCTATTTGATGCATTTATTTATTTAGCCATACTGGGGCTTAAACCCGGGACCTCATGCATGCTGGGCAAATGCTATACTACTGAGCTACATTCTCAGCCCTTTTATTTTTTATTTCCAAAATATATTCATGCAGAGAAACAAAACAAGGTACACAAAAATATTAATAACCTTCTCTTGGGTAGGGCAATTATTTTCCTATTTCATCTTTTTTAAAAGTAAGTGAACTACATTCATGGTTGGAAAACAATGTCATTAGAAAAACTAAGTAGCTCTGTAGGCATCAGTTCAGTAGGCATTAGGGTCTTAGTGAATGGTTATTTGTTCTTGGCCACCCACAAGTAGGAGCTCCTCATTAGGAGCTTTGTTTGATGGATAGATCAACAGGATGAAAATTGGTCTCCGACTATTCCAACATTTAATTTTACTACTGTCATTTCTCCTACTACCTACTCACAGCTAATGAATATCCAAATTCTCTGCTAATTAAATGCATTTAAATCACTGCCTTGGGGTGAGGGATGTAGAAATTGAACCCTGTGTGAGAGCGCCCTCTGGTGTCCCACCGGTAATACTTTTTTCAACTCCAGGGTGTTAACCTGACCTCCCCAATGGAGATTTCTCAGCTAGCTAACTTTATTCAAAAGAAAGGACCATTCTACTTATGCAATGTAAAAAACAAAAATTTAGTAGAGGAAATAAATGAATATTTCATTAAAATGTTGGTGATGGGGCTGGGGATTTAGCTCAGCGGCATAAGCCCCTGCCTTGCAAGCAGGCAGTCCTGAGTTCGATCCCCAGTACAGATAAAAAATAAATAAAATAAAATGTTGGTGATGGAACTAGGCGTGAATTTTTTTTCATTATTTAGTTTTTATTCACTACCATCAATTTAAGTCTGCAATCCAGCTAGACTGGGAGGGGAATAAGGAAAATATGGACGCTGCAGTGACAGTACAGAGACGATGGCGTACTGCGAGCACAAGGGGCAGCGAGGGTCTCCTTAAGCCAGGGAGGGATGGCCCGGTGGGCAGAACACAAGCAAGCCAAACACACACTACTGTCGTCCGCAGCCCAGAGGCGAGCTCAGCGCACATCTTGCGCTCCGGGACCCGAAGCTGTGCGCTCCTCCCTGAGCTTCACGACCTGCTGCACCTTCCCAAGGCCAGGTGCTTGCCGTGCAGCCAGACGGCCTGGACAGCGCAGGTGAGAACCTCTGAGCTGTTTGTGCGTGGTCCAGCACTCGCCATGGACAGGATGCCAGGACTCGTGTGCTTCCTGTGAAGTTCTCCTCATCGATTTCTCCCGGCAGATGGGCTTGTTGCCAGTGCCACTGCGGCGTTTGAAGTCACCACGGTGGCGCAGGCATCCTGGAATAGTTCTGTGAAAGCAAATCTTTCTCTGCAGCACTCAGAGCATGAAAGGTTTCCCCTGTCACTGGAGCTCTGTCTGTAAATAGCTCGAAGGAACGGTGGCAGGGACAAGCACTGGAACCGCTTCAGAGACGACGACTATTTCAGAAACTGGAATCCCAGCAAGTCCTTTGACCAAGCCCTGGCCCAGCCAAGGCCCCCTGCCGGAAGGTGAAATGCAGCCCCCACAAAGCGCCAGCCAGCCCAGCGTCAGCCGGAGGCCCTTGCCGCCTAGGCGCAGGCACTGGGCTGGACTTTGCAGTTCAGTCAAGCACAAGTCGGGTCCTGTGGCACAGTCGGACATGCCGTGCAGCTCCATGGCCTCACCTACACACCCAAGTGCAAGCCGGAGCTCCGTGTTGTTCCACCCACAAAAATACCGCCGCTCTCTGCAGGGGGCGAATAGAACCCCGGCAGGGACTAGGGACTGAGGAACCTTGCTTCCTGGCCGGAAGACGGTTTGCAGCTCTTCACGAAGATACAGTCGTCAAGCCCACCAGCTCCCACGCAAGCCCACGACAGGTTTGACGCCAGCACCCTGAGCACCTGCAAGCATCCCTTGCGCAGGACGTTCGTTTGGCAAGCTGGACGTGAAATACGACCTCCTGCTACAGCGGGAGGTCAGCACCGTGTACCTGGATAAACGGGCCACACAAGGCTCTCAGCCACGCTTGAGTGAGGAGGGGGCTGTCACTCGGCCACGCAGGCCCGCAGCAGCAAGGGCAGCGCTCTGGTGGGGACGAGGGGAACGAGCCGGCTGGTCCGGAAACGGGGTGGGGGTTTTGGCAGTGGTGGCTGCGTGGTCCTGCTGGGTGACCCAGAAGATGTACAGGAGTTGGGGCCAAAGGACAAGGAGGGCAAGAGGGGGTGTGCGCCCGGCTCGTGACAGAGGACAATGATGAGACAGACGACAGACGAGGGTGCTGGGGACGAAGGCTGTGCCCACGAGGAAGAGAACAGGTACTTGGCCTGTTCTCGAGTTTGTGTCCACACCAGTGTCTCCTGTCCACAGTCGCTCTCTGTAGCCAAATGCAGCTCTGGAAGACAAGTGCTTGCCCCAGAGCATTCCGTTATGTGTACGGTTGCGCAGGAGAAAGAGTACTGTTTTGGGGTATTTTTTTGGACAAAAGAATGAGCCTCCTTCCTCCCGTGAGATCTTTGAGAGGAGCATGTGGAGTCCAGCAGTGCAGGGAGCCCTGCCCTCACCAACGCCAAAGCCCTTTTCCATTGCCACAGGGCACAAGGCTCAGGGCCTCTCCTGCTCGGGGCCTTTCAGGGCCACTCTGCAGGCCCCGTGGAAAACACACCACGTTGTACCTTTCCCTCCTGCCCCTACCACCCTGCCGTTTATTATTAAAAATTAATCTTCGTATCACTAAAAAATTAAAACGATTTCAGCCTTCTGGGAGGCTGAGGCTGGAGGATCTCAAGTTCACACCTGGCCCAGGCAACTCATCAAGACCCTGTCTCAAAATAGAAAATAAAAAGTGGGCTGGGGATGTAGCTCAGTGTGAAGGATTTCAGTTCAACAACCCCCAGTACCTCAAAAATAAGTCAGTGTGATGGTGCAAGGGACAGGAGAAGCAGGGAGAAGTGATGTTTGTGACACAATATATTTAAGAAAACAAAAAATGAACAACACATGAAAACCAAAGCTCCTGGAACAACAGTGTTATACTTCCACTATGAGGTCAAAATTCATTCTCCACGCATTGACAGCTTACTGTGTGGCTTGGGCATCCTGGAGTTGAACAATCTGTTCAGATCTCTGTACCCAGAAGAAAAATTCCATCATTTTGTTTTTATTCTGTATCTTCATCTTTGTAAACTTTTGGGATATAAACCTGGAAAAAACCAACCAAAAAATAACCGAGAATTTTATCGGCAAGCCAGGTATGGTGGCTCATGCCTGTAATCCCAGCACTCAGGAGGCTGAGGCAGGAGGATTGTTGTGTTTGAGACCAGCCTGGGCTACAAAGTGAGCTCAAGGCCAGCCTGAACTGCATAGAGAGACCCTGTCTCAAAAAGACAAAAAGGAAAACAATAGAAAAATAATTTATCAACACACCTGGTTAATATTTCTGGCTATCAAGTTTTATCAAATCCATGTTGACCCTCTCATTAATATCAATGAACAGTAAATCACTTAAAAACATTCCTTTGGCTAACACAAGGCTGCCATTATACTTCCTTTATTTTTTCCTATTTGCTGTTCTCCACATTGTACTGGCCACATGGGCCATCAGGTAGATTGTCTTTACTAAAAGAACTGAATAATATATTGAGTAAGGACTTACTTTGTATATGTTTTTTGTTGTTACTTTTCTTAAGACAGAGTCTTGCTATGGAGTCCAGCTTGGTTTTACATATCGCAGCCTGGCCTGGATTCCCTACCAAAATTCAGAGCCCAGCCTCCCGATTTGCTAGGCAGAATCTAGATCATGCAGCCCTGAGAGCAAGGGTAATACTCCTTCAAGGGTTACTGTGCAATTTAGAAACTTATGGAAAGGGCCAGCAGATAGATACCAGAAACTGCTGAAAACGTGACGAAGTTAATTATTGCCTGGAACTAATGCAAGCACTGTAATATCTATTTCCTGGGTAGACTTCGTACGTTTATTCCTTATTTATTTATTTAGAGACCGGGTATCTATGTGGTTCAGGTCGGCCTTTAACTCACTATATAGCCCAGGCTGGCCTTGCATTAGCAGTGATCCTCCTGCCTCAGCCTCCCAAGTTTTCAGATTACAAGTGTGCATCACCATATTGTTTATAAATTTATTCTTAAAGGGAACTGAAAAATTCCTTCAGAAGAAGTACATTTTATCACTCACATTTATACTATAATGATGTTTGGCTGATGATACAGAATACCTAACCATACCAAACACGTGATAGACTTTAATATGTCAAAGGGAAAATAAAATGAAGCAGTTTCACTAAAAATAAATGTCAAATCAGACTTAATAAGGAAATACACACTTTAGTATTTGAAAAGACATTTTATTATTTTACTATCACCATGCAGTATTAGAATGCATTTTCTCCAAGGTACAGGATAACGTTTCTCTCTGATTGTCCCAAGAACCTCAATATCATCTGTCCTTTGGAGGATTCAGTTTCATACGACGTCTGTGATACCTTAAAAAAAGGAAAATACTTGCAGTATTATTTGAATAAGTTAACTACTCTTGATAAAAATCTTAAATGTTTATATTTTGTTGTTTTTATTAGAACTATTTGAAAAATCAATGAAATTTTATAAATATACTATTGAAAACCTCACATATTTCTTAACATTTGCCACATTCCTCCATCCTGGAAACTTCGGGGTTATGTGACGGGCAGTGAGCCCAGGACCTTTACATTCAGCTACATCCTCGGCACTTTTGAATATTTTTTTTCTGAGACAGGATCTCACCAAATTGCTAAAATCCTAGGACATTGTCGTCTTGGACTTTTGGCCCTCCTGCATCAGCCCGCCACAGTGCTGGGATTACACACATGGGACTACAATGGAATCACTGTTGTAGCTTGGCTTAACTGACGCCATCTCGAGCCCTGTATTTGACCCAGAAGAATGAAAAATTACCCTGGGTACCAATCCCATAAGAAAGGCAGAATGAGCTGTACCCACAAGAGAGAAAATTCAACCTGCTCAACAAAGAAGCAGGATACAGGTGTCAGCCAAAAATAATGTAGGGTTCCAGCTAACTTGTTTCCAACAGGGTGTCTTGTTTTGTGGTTTTCTGTTTTAAAAGCCCTGTAACTCTCCAGTTCATGGACACTTGTTTTGACTCTAAAACAAGGGTCTACAGGTGGTCACTGAGCTCAGCTAATAAAATTCCTAATTTATCAACGTGGCTTGCGTGGATTCCTATACTGTTCATGACACCACTTCATCACCACATTAAGCACTTTCAGCTCTTGACGATAATTTCAAAATAAACTAGATTACTGATTTTCAGTTAAAAACTAGTAATGGTAGCTGCATATGGTGTCACACAACTGTAATCTCAGCACTTTGGGAAGCTGAGACAGGAGGATTAGAAATTCAAGTCCAGCCCGGTCAATTTTCCAAGACCCTGTCTCAAAAAGAATACAAAGGGGTAGGAATGTAGTTCAGTGCAAATGTCCTGGGTTCAAGCCCCACCACCACAAAAAAACAGAAAAAAAAAAAAGATTTAATGATTTGTCTTTGTACTAAAGAAATATCACACCATAAAAAGGAATATGCACTATTAAAGTTTTAATTAATAAGGGATATTTTCCTCTGAACAGAAACCTCTTAAACCATAAATTCATGTTTTAGTAAAAAAGGAAAGCTGGGCACAGTGGGGCACGACTGTAAACAACAAGGCTGAGGCTGGAGAGTCTCAGGTCAAGGCCAGTCTGAACTACACAATGAGACCTTGTCGAAAAAACAAAGCAAAACCAAAAATAATTATAAGGTCCAACCTAAGCACGGGTGTGGTCAAATAAGAAGTATCACAATAGAATTAAACTAGAAATAAGTACAGATCATCTGGAAAATTTCAAAATATTTAGAAATTAATAACTACAAGTAATTGGTCAATAAAAACCAAACCAAACAACAAAAACAAAAAATTTCACAAGGGATAGTGAAAAGTATTTTGAACTGAACAAAATTTTTCTCAAATTTTTTTTTTTTTTTTTTTTTTGGTCTTTTTCATTTTTATCGGTACCGGAGATCGAACTCACAACTGCCTGCTTGCAAGGCAGGTGCTTATGCCGCTGACCTAAATTCCCCAGCCCCGAACTGAACACAACTTTAAAAACTAAAAATCTGTGAGATGCTACCAAAGTAGTGCTGACTGGAAATGTGTTAGCATTAAATGTTTTTTGGGGGTTTTTTTTGGTACTGAGGATCAAACTGATGATCTCACGCTTGCCAGGCAGGTGCTTACGCCAGTGAGCTAAAGTCCCGGCAGCGCTAAATGTTTAAAATAACTAAAAAACTAAAAGCTAAAGAAAGAACAAGAGGGGCTGGGGATTCAGCTCAGCAGCATAAGCGCCTGCCTTGCAAGCAGGCAGTTGTGAGTTCGATCCCTGGTACCGACAAAAAGGAAAAAGACCAAAAAAAAAAAAAAAAAAAGAAGAAGAAAGAAAGAAAGAACACAACTCAAATAGAAAACAGAACTAACAGAATCGGCCAGGCGTGGAGAGGCACACCTATCACCTATCACCCCAGCACCGGGCCAGCCTGGGCTACCCAGTGAGTTCAAGGCCAGGCTGAACTACCAGGGAGGCACTGTCTCAACAATGTAAAAGATAAAATAAAAACAAAAAACAGAATCAAACCCAAAAGTTTTTTCTTTGAAAAGATCAACAAAATTAACAATTACCAGGAATCAGAGAAGTAATATCATATTATAAAAATGTTAAAAAATGATAAGGAAATATCATAAATAATTACCTAAATGCAAATAAACTCAGTAATTTAGATGAAACACACAAATTCTTTGAGAGACACAAACTACTCAGGTGCCTTTAAGGAGAAACAAACGGAATAACTTTATTTGTCAACTAAAGTAATTAAATATGTAATTTAAAACTTTCTGACAAAGAAAATTCCAGACTCAAATGGCTTCCCTGGTGAATTCTGATTTAAGAAAGACCCAATACACTTTCTGTACACATTCCTCCAGAAAACTGGAGAGGAAGGTCTACTTCCAAACCATTTTATGATGCAAGCATTACCCAGAAACAAAAAACAAAGCCGTTATACAGCTGTGGCCCATTAGCCGCCATACACCAACATGTGACAATTCTACACACATTTTAGCAAACTGCATACAATATTAAAAGAATCAGACACCATGAGCAGAAATGGAAGACTGAATTAACATGGAAACATCACTTAAATATAATTCACCATCATAAAAAAGTAAAGAAGTGAGCCGTGATTGACAGCTAAGTTATTCACAAATACTATGGACAGTCAGACAGGACTGGGCGCTCGAGGATCAGGGCAGAAGACAAGTGTGGCTGGAGGCGCGTTGGCTGAACCTCAGGACAGAGAAATGCTTGCACCATCCATGACCCCTAAGGATGAGGAGCAGGCACTCATCACCGTGGGGGGCACCACAGCCTCCGGGGCCTCCCTTCAGGAAAGTCCTTGCTCCATGACTTGCCTGTTTGATCCCTATTTAACCAGTATTACCTAAGCAACTATACTTGTAATCTTATCGGTGGGCCATAGTTTGGTCCCACCTTGTCATTTTCCACTGGGTCAGTGTTACCTAAATTACTGTACTTGTAATCTAATTAGTTAACTAGAGTTTTGTCCTACCTTCTAACCACTGCACCTTGTGATTTTATTCTATCAAACTCCTTCGAGAAGTGGGATGCTCACCCCACTCAGGACTCTCTCCTGTCCCTCTTAGGCACAAAAGCTTTCTTTCTCTCAATAAATACTTCCTACTCTTAACCTCTGCTGTTCCTAGAATTCATTCTTCAATTTTAGAGAACAAGAACTTGGCAAATCAGACATCTAGCAGGTTAGGAATTAATTTCTCGTATATTCAGGTTATTTGGAGGTCTTATGTCATACACTGTATGTCAACAGGACCATCTAAGTAAGTGCAGAGGCAGCCATGGGGAACAACAAGAGATTCAAGAAGCCAAAGCATGCCTTTCCATGAGCCAGCCAGAGCTGGGAGACAAGAGCAATTCCCCCCAGCTCCCTGGTAAGCAACTGGCTGATTTGGAGGAACTCGGACTGAGATGATAGCAACTAAACTAAAAAATATAACTTAATGCTTGTATTGATTGACTTTGCAGGTAAAGTACCTAAAGCTGGTACTCTAATCTATTCGGAGGATAACAATATGTAGTATAGCAACTGTGGAGAATTTCCTTGTATCTTATTTTTGAAATCCAATGTTTTGTCCTGTTTTACTGTTTTGTTTTGTTTCTGTATCTGGGAACCTCAGCAACTATTTTGAAGGTAACAATATGTAATATAATGACGATTACTAAATTCCTATCATCTTGTTTTGAAAACCTATATAGCTGTTGTTTTTTGTTATTGCTGTCATCTTTTGGTTTGCTTCTTGATTTTTCTGTTTTTTTCTTTTTCTCTTTAAAATAAAATAAAATAAAATAAACAAGTGCAGGGAGAAAAAAATCCAACAAAATTCACCCATTCATGATTAAAAAAAAAAAAAGACAGTAGAGATTTCCTGAACCTGAAATAGAGCATCTACATAAAGCTTAATATATAGTAAATATCATTCTTTATGGTAAAAAGAATGATATTCACTCAGTGCACTCCCTCACTAAAACCAGGAAAAAGGCAACAATGTTTGCTCTGAACACTAATCAACCCTGTACTTCAGGTCCTAAGCAATAAAGCAAGAAAGAAAAACAAAAGGCAATTTAAAAAGAGGAACAGCAGCTGGCCCTGGTAGCACAAGCCTGTAATCCCAGAGCTTTGGAATGCTGTGGCAAGAGGATTGCAAGTTCACACTGAGCAAGCACAACTCTGTCTTACTGAGCCCCTGTCTCAAACTATACAATAAAGAAGTCTGAGATGTAGCTCAGTGTAAAGGCCTTGCATCAATCCAAATGCCACAAGACCAACCAACAAACCGAAATCCCTAAATGGGAAAGTACAGTATACCATTTTTCATGATACACTGAATGATCATTGTAAAGACATCATTTTTCCTGAAATTGACCTAAAGATGGAACATAATTCTCTTTCAAAAATAACAGCAGGCTTTTTACAGAAATTGAAAAACCTAACTAAAATGTATATGGAAACGTAGGCAACACAGGATTGCTAAGAAAAACTTAGCAAAGGTGGAGGATTTGCTTTACCTGATTTCAAGACTTGTTTAAAGACAGACACAAGATCAACACTGACTTTCAACAAAGATGCTAGGTTGACTCATGCAAAAGGGATAATGTTTTTAACCAGTGATCTTCAAACAAGATATACTATACCTGTGCAAAAAATAAAGTTCAACTTACACTTCACACCATACATAAAAAGCAGCCCAAATGAATTACAGACTTAAACATTAAAGCTAAAATTATAAATCTTACAGAAAAACTTCAGGAGAAAATTTAAGTGGTTTTGGGTTAGGCAAAGATTATTTAAGTGTAACAAAATC